ATATATATATATATATATATATATATATGTATGTATGCATGTATGTATATATATGTCTGTATGTATTTAACTCGGATCAGTTCCCTGTCAGTTTATTTTCTACTTTGATCACACATAATGCTTTTGCTTTTTTAAATCTTTTCTCTTTTGCAGAGTTTTATGGTAAAGATGCTCCATATAACGCCCTGGTTGGGAAGGACTGCAGTCGAGCCGTGGCAAAGATGTCTCTGAAGCCAGCAGACCTGACATCAGATACTGTGAGTTAAAAAGCACCCGAGGTGCCTGATTTACCCTCACACACCCACTCCATTGTCCTGACTGTTTTCATGCTGCCTGCTCCCATAAGTTGGATATATAATCCTTCTTTTATCTAGAACGGTGATTTGCATTCTTTAAGCTAATTAAGTGCATTAAAGTTGTGCAAAATCATTTGAATGCATCACGCTAAATTGGATTTTTGCACAGTAGGGCCTTTCATTTTCATAAAAGTAATGACCACAAAAGCAGAACATTTTGGGCCTGACTAAAACTCATTAAACACACCATCCATAACTGCTTTCACATGATCATTTGCCCCCTTAGAGACATATATTTTTGGCACTCTTCAGTGTTTAAAATCATCAGATGATTGTTGATACGAAAAAAGACTCAGTAATTATAAACATTTTTCACATGAGGATACTATTTATTAAAGGGAAATACAATATCTAGGAATGTTTTAGAGGGTTTTAGTAATTGTGGGATAGGTTTATGTGCTCTTTTAGTGGGTTTAAACCTAAAACTCTCACATGAATGCTATTTCTGCACAGTTGTTGAATCTGGAACATTTAATGAGTTATTAAAGGCATGAACCTTTTTTAATGTTTCTATTTTTTCATGATTTTTAATATCTTTTGGGTTTCCTCCTATCAACGCCACCATATACATGTTTGGCTCCAGGGTTTCTTTGTTTTTGTGGCTATGAATGTTCTCTTGTCCAGAGTTATTTTCTGCTAGCTTTTTGTTTTAAAGAAAAATCCTTTCTTCTGCTAGTTGAAGAGCTGGAGTGAGAAAGTTGGTACCTAGTTAGAGCTGTTGTATGTTCAGGTTCAAGTTCATCAATAATATAGAATATTTAACATATTCAAAATATAAATTCAACAGACATATCGAATTCAGATGACTTTATAACAGCAGCGTTTCACTGGGTTTCTCTGGCATATAGGGTTAAAGAATATAAATACATGGAACAAAACCAAAAATTGAATACCTCTATGATTTTCGAAGAAAACAGCTTATTAAAAAAAATGATTTATTTTTACTTTGTTGTTTTTGGAATACAAAATTAGAATTTTTCCTTCACATACATTTCCTGAAACTTTTGGTTTTCTTTGTTGGACATAAGTTAACATAACTTAAGAAAATGCAAGCTCTAAATTTTATTTTCCTGCTGTCACCAGACCATCATCATTCTGTGAATCATCAGATCCAGATTTCTCAGAAACCTGCTGACTGTTGTGTTTCATTTAATCATTAACAATCAAATGCTACTTTGCATGTTTTGTTTTCATGAGACATTGTAAAGCAAAAGTTAGCAGAAGGAGATGGTGACTGTATTGGACAGACTTTTTTTTGGGTGGAACCCGATTCACCCAGGAAGTAAGGTCTCTAGAATCCTCATCAAATTTGAATAATAAAAATTATATTCATTTATCTGTACATCAATTCAGACTAAAGAGGCAGATTTTATTTCTTTGCTCCTCTTTTTGAAATAGGTTAGTCAAAACCGACAGGATTCCAGCAGCATCACTTTCACTTAATCAGATTCTCATTTGGTTTTAAGTCTGGACTTTGACTTTTAACAGATGAATTTACTTTGGTCTGAATTTTGGCTCTAGGGATTTAGGGACGTCCTTCTTAAAGGTGAGCTTCAGATACATACTTCATCAAAAAGTCTTTGCAGATCATGATGCTGCCACCACTGTGTCTTACAATGAGGTTAGATATGGAATCAAAATGCCCAGCACTCTCTGAATTTTATTAGTTAAAAGAGAAAACTTAAACCCGCACGCTTTTTTTGAGTAAAATTCCAATATTTACCTTACTAAAAGAGAAACAACAGCCACCGGCCTTGTTGACATGACAGATTACATGTAGCAAGGAGTTCAGTAGATAAAGCACAGTCTGTTCAGCAACTCCAAGATAAAGCCAAAGTTTAAACTAATCAATACAATAATGTGTCTCTTTTTTTTCACCATCCACTCCCCTCCAGGGTCCTGGCCACGTGCTCCAAATCAAACACCTTCTTGCTTTGTCTTACAGAGGTGTCTGTTCCCAGGATCCCCCCCCATAGATTTACAACCCTCAGCGTATCAGCTAGAGCAGGGATCTCCAAAGTCGGTCCTCGAGGGCCGCTGTCCTGCAGGTTTTAGAGGTTTCCCTGCTCCAGCAAAGGTGATTTAAAATTCTAGTTGATTAACAGGCTTTTGCTGAACTGCAATCTTCAGAATCAGCTGTGCTAAAGCAGAGAAACCTCTAAAACCTGCAGGACAGCGGTCCTCGAGGGCCGACTTTGGGGATGCCTGATCTAGAGGATGCCTGGTCTTCTTTATCTAAAAGCAGATAACATCCCCAGGTTGAATATCTAAGTCCCTATTTTTCCAAAATTTTAAATCTGACACTTAAGGATTATTCTGTGTTTGTAGGTCGCAAAAATAGCACTAAAATACTAATATTGTGAGGAGTGGTTGCTTAGTGATTAAGGCATAGAGCTTGGAATCCTGAGGTTGTGAGTTCGCGCCCCTCTCCCACAGACTGCCACTCTGGAGGATAGGTTAAATGCAGAGGTACATTTCTCCAATGTGAGACTTATTAATGGTTCCATTATTATAAAAGGTTTTCTTTTATCTTGTCCTTTACAGACTGGCCTCACTGAGGAGCAGCTCAAGTCTCTAGATAGTATATTTGAGGAAACTTACAAAGCCAAGTATCCTATTGTGGGTTACACTGCAGCACGTCTCCTGAACAAGGATGGAAGCCCCAACGAAGACTTCAAACCAGAAGACCAGCCCCATTTTCAAATCAAAGATGAGTTCTAGGTTCATTTTAGGGTTTTCTACTCTACATCTAATAAGGATGTAAAAGTGAGAAACATATTTTCAGGAGAAAATACAAATAAATTATTCTTTAAAGATCCTATGAATTTCTTTATCCTCAATCTCTTATGTGTGGTGAAAGCTGGAGCTGTTAATAGAAACTGGCCATTTTACTCCTGTTTTTTATTTGTTTTATAACCAACGTTTAACTGCACAAAATGGAGCTGGTTGCACTGGTAATGTCATTTAGCTCACATATATAGACATTATGTACATTTTATATGTAATTTTACAATATTTCACAGTTACTTGTACAAAAGAGGTGACACCAAACACACACACATATATATATATATTTATGGTCTTCAGGAGCGGACTGCACTCTAAAATACCTCAGTTTCCTCTGGAGGAAGAGTCTGCTCTGACCCTTTTTGTAGAGGGTCTCAGTGCTGTGGGTCCAGTCCAGCTTTTTGTTCAGGTATTTATAAGACTCCACTATCTTAATGTCCATTCCCTGGATGTTCACCAGTGTCAGTTGAGTGGATCTGCTTCTGTGAAAGTCCTCCACTAGCTCCTTGGTTTTCTTTGGTATTCAAAAACAAAAATAACATCGATCCACCTTTCCAGATGGAGCCATCGCAAACAGCGCAAGTGAAAATCTGATCCCCTAATTGTATTTTGCAATAGGTTGAAAAGTGTTTATTTTAGATTATCTTGTGGACCTGTATAATATTATGGATACTGGAGCTTGACTGGGATAGTTGAACGGCTCAAAGTGGATGTCGTAAAAATATCCACATTTTTAAATTCTAAAACTTAAAAGATATGATATAGTTTAACCTACTGACCCCAACTGAAAGACTTTTCATAAGCTCCAGAAATGGTTTATTTGGGGTGTTTTAGCTGATTCGGGTTCAACATTGTAAGATTCAAATGTTGAAATTTTTCTCATTCCAATTCCCTGGGTCACCTAATGTGGGATATTCATTAAGTGTCTGTAAGCCATAATCATAAATCAATCTTACAAAGAATAAAGGATTGAAATATCTTTATGTGTAGTGACTTAATTTAGACATGAGTTTCCCTTCCAACTTAAGTCACAGAAATTATTACACTTTTTCCCAATATTCAGATTTCTTTAGATGTACCCATAGAGTTTGATAAGCTGATCTTGAGGGTCATGTGTGCTTTCAAACCAAGCAGCTGGGATTTCAGAACCAAAGAGGAGTGGCTTACAACTCTCAGCCTTTATTTCTCACATCAGTCCAGTCCTTTTGCTCTCACAGACACCTGCAGTTAATTTAAATCCATTTCAGATCACTACATCAAGGCATCAATGTGTACCTTGTCCCTTGTGGAGACCTGCAGTTGATTCCAAAGTCCTAAGTGTGGATACAAATATTGATTTAGAAGAGTCTCAATATTCACAAACTCACATACTGTGATCCTTACAAGCAAAAGGCAAGATGTTTTTTTATGTGGTCCTGTTTTATTTTTAATATAATGTTATAAAATATATTATCTTTTTTTATTGTAACAACAGTAAGCATGTAGATTTTTAAATAAAAACAAAAC